ACATTAAGCCAGAAAACTAGCTTTGAGTTGAACCGGATGGTCGGCAGAGGAGTGTGTGTCGTCTTTGTTCAACACTGATGAGTGTGTGCATGTGTGTGAAGGGCCTTCCTCCAGCTTCTCCACCTAAATTGAATTCTGAGTAGCTGTTGGACTGTTCACACTCCAGTGCATCAGTATCAGTGGAGAAAGAGAGAAAACAAGGCCCAGGGAGAAAAGAAGTTAAGAAACTGGTTAAAACTTTTTTTTTATTGTTTAGCGGATGCACGTATTAACAGCTTCGACAGCATATAGAGGAAATGAGCAGCATGTTTCAGGACAGAACGGCGCTTCATGTTACAGCAGCTGCAGTTTGTACAGATGGATGTAAAGAGATGCACAAATGATGTCAGAGGAATCAGTTCATCTAAAAAAAAAAAACAATAATAAAAATGCAGAGCTGAAAAAAGCCGGATTTTGCAACTGGTTGGACATGTTTATCCAACATTACTGTGAAACATAACTGCAGAATTTTTGCAATTATGGGTGATGCAGGCAGATAATGAGCTAAGTCACTGTGACATCTGGAGCCTCCAACTGCTGCGGCCAATTACGCACATCGCTCCGTGTTTTTGGCATCCGGCTGCACACAACTCAGGGACATCCCATTATAAATGCAGTTTAAAACGAAGTCGCAAATTGGGCCTTTTCCACAGTTCAGACCTCGACGGAAACGGTTGCATCAGCAGAAACGTGGAAATTGAGGGTTTGGATCCCAGTTGAGTTTCAAACTTAGTTGTTGTGGAAGTTTTTCTGATGTGCAGATTTCATCATGACGCTAAAAGGGTTTAGTCCGTACGTAGTTCATTACTAAATATTTATACCTGGTGGACCCCAGAGTAAAGAATAAAGAGGTGATGAGAGAATTTATTTGAACGTAATAGCTTATTAGGAAAACAGAACCACAATAGGACGAGCTAAGAGACCCAGTGAGGTTTGTTAGCTTAGCATACGCTGAGATTTCAAACTGTACTTGGCTAGTTTTAATGTGCTACAATTATTATATTATTGGTTTGGATGAATGAAGCTAAAAGATGTGTGTAGTGTGAGAATAAAACAGTGGTGGTGGGAGCTGTAGTCAACAGAGTCAACACGGGCAGTTCTGTGGTAGAAACTGGCTGATAACAGGGTAATAACATCTGTGTTGAGTTTTGTGGTGGCATAAGAATAAAGGTCTCCTTCTGTGATGATCTGTGTTTGACTGAAACGCTCCTCGCTGATCAAACGGCGAGTACAGTAGCGGGTACAGTTTATCTAGATGATTGTTCCAGTCATCAGGGTCGAGTGTTGCTGCTCTCTGAGTGGAAGCAAGCTCTGGGTTTGTATTACAAAGACACTGAGTCCATTAAAATCGTCCTTCAGGTGTCTGATAGGAGGAATATTCAGGGGACAGAATGAAGCTTTCATTTCCTGAATAATTTCAGGCAACACAGAGGAGCGGCTGAACTTATCTGGAGAGGATGAGCGTGACACACTCACTGTAATTTGTTTGGAGGGTGGACTGATGTGGTGCTTGATATCAAATACTTTCACTGTGGAGAATTTGTCGCAGGTTTCAGAGCATCAGCGGAGCTCCTCGTCCACAGTATTAAAAAGACCTTTCACTCAGATATTCTCATGTTTCACCGTCGGCAGTAACAGGTGAGGTCGGTCACCACTGAGCCTTTATAGGTGAACGAATCCTGAAGTTTTGCTCCTCGTCATTACGCTACTTTCCCAGAAGTCTTGCGTCAGAGCGCAGCATCGTTGTAGTTTGAGCAAAGTCATTAATGACGTTAGCTTCACCGTTGTGTTCAGGTCTCTGCAGTCTAATCAGATACAGCAGTAATGGAATTTGAAAGCAATAAGCAAAGTGAGCATCAGCAGCAAGGAAATCAACAGCTAATTGATAAGTAATTATCGCTGCAGTCTTTTCTCTATTCAGTGTGTGGTGGAGAAACAACAGACTTCTCTACGTTAGGAAGAAGCACTAAACTAGATTCCATCTTTCGTCATCACGATACCAACTGAGAGGACAGAGAGCAGCAGGATCCTCACGATGAGCATTGCCTTAGCATGCAAGAAAACATGCAGTAGGTTGTGACCTGACATGAGCAGCAGCACGTCCATCCGGTTATTAGCTATAGCGGCTTTATCCTGTGATGAGTGGAGGGGGATGGAGCTACAGCCCTGTGTGCTTCTTTAATCCCTGTCCTGCTGGATTTCTGCTCCTGCAAACATTCCCTCCCTCACAACTTAGTAGTCCTCGTTCCACTGATTTTGTGTCTTCTATCTTTATTACAAGTAATATTGTGAATTGCATTCATGATTCTTTATTATTCCAGGCAGCACGTACACGTCATACATTCCTCGACAGTATCTTGTTCAGCATGTGCAGGAGGAGGAGCTTTATCTTTAGAACAGAGTCTGCTTAGACCACTGACAACACAACAGGTGTGTCACCTCGACCCAGCGGAGGCAGATTAGTGCTCTCTGTACATCAACACATTAAGAAAGTCCACTTGCCTTTGCTGACTGTGGTTGGGGTAAATCCCAGGACCTGTAGTTTATTTTGTGATCGCCCACAGCAAAGTTAGAACCGCCTGCTCCCCTCAGACCTGCAGTCCTGCAGCCTGAGCTGACGTTGGGTGAGAAGTAGAGTGCACAGTGGACGGGTGGCTGGTGGTCTCAGGGCCAACACAGCAGGCGCACAGCTGGAATCATATACAGCATAAAGAAACACACGTGTTTGGAGAGAGAGCATAACCGAACCCTAACCACGACACAGAAAGGCCTCAGCCAGTCAACATGTTCAAACACACGACCTTGCTGCTGTGAGGCAACGCTGCTAAACACTGCCCCGCCATGTTGCCTTGCTCAAGCACCAACAGAGTTTGTCGGGCAAGGAACCGCATATGGTAACTTCTGCAGGCTTTATGGCAGGGGGCAGAATCACATGACTTCAACCAGCCAATCAGTGAAGGTCAGGCGACATCACAACACAGTCACTCTGGCCTCGGACCAATCACAGCGAGTGATGTTCTGACACAAATGTCATTAGCTCTGTAAGGCTGACTGGTGATTCTGAAATAAATGTCCCTTTACCTTTATATGTGTATTTTTTACAGTAATTTATATTATTTGGAGTTGTTTTTATACCCTCGGTAGGCCAGGAATCCTAACTGCTTTTTTCAAATTCCAATGAGCTGATCATACCAAGAGCTCATTCATTAAAGGTTTGCTTCATAACGTGCAGACTGCTGTCACTTCTCCAGGAGTTTGAGCTTTTCCAAGCACTAAACATTTAAAAAAAAGAACTCTAGATCTCCCTGGAACAATGACCTCACTGTTAGCAGGTTTTTTCTGGAGCTTCTCTTTACTACTCATGCAGCTCACAGGCGTGTGTGACAGCGGACCCAGAACTGCAGAGCTTGTGAAACACTGCTTAGTTACATCCGTGCACTTCCCTGTCATGGCCCGTTCCCACTGATTGGCTGATCGCTGGGTGGAAGTAAAGATGGATCGCTGTGCTGCAGGAGGAAGAGGAAGAGCAATGGGCCTTTCTAATCTTTGGTCACAGAAACAGCACAGCAAGCAGTACAGTTGCACCGCCCCGTCGTCAGCACTCTGGAGTCTGACTGCCTCTCACACACACACACACACACACACACACACACACAGTCACACACACACACACACACACA